CATGTACTTGTTGCATCAGATTGGTTGGGACACCGCTCCTATCCGTCGAAGGTTCTGTACCTACAAAAGGCTAACTCTTGAGTTTCTAAGCACCTTGAGTTTCATTCCAAATCAAGGAATGGGATTCAACCGTGGGTTGATCACATTCAGAATGTTTAACATGGATTACACTTATAACCTGCGGGAGTTTAGCCAGCTGCTTGGGTTCCCTTTTGGACCCGATGTTATCAGTATGTCACAGGAGAACCTTTTGCCCGTATCTGAGCTTGACTATTTCTGGGGAAGCATTGCTGGTATTAACCATTCTGAGCCGTCAGATCTGTACTCTGAATGCATTCATAACCCGGCTATCAGGTATTTCCACAAGATCATAGCCCACACTATCTTTGGCAAACAGCAAAATGTCACGTCTGTATCCCGCGATGAGCTGTTTATTATGTATTGTGCATCCCAGAACCGTCCGGTGAACGGTGCAGCTTATATGCTCGCTAATATGGAGCGGATCATCCAGACTCCAAATGCACCGATCTTGTTGGGTGGGTTAGTTACCATGCTGTCTAATGCAATTGGACTCCGCCGGCCTATGCTCGGTTCTGCTCCGCTTTATGAAATAAAGCCGATGGACATTGCCTTTTGTTTCAACACTAGCATGATCGGAAACCTTGGACCAGATCAATTTGACCTGCTAGTTAATCATCAGATCGTCCACCATTTTAAGCTTCCGGACCCAATCACCAGTGTGCACAACCGAGATAACTGGCTGTTTGACCTTCACCATCCTGCTTCACCACCCTCCTCACCATCTACAGTTGACATTTATGAGGTTCCAAACACTGCTAATGCTGATGAAGATCCTGCTACTCCGCCAGGATACCATGATCTCCCTGATCCTTGGGAACAGCAAGCTACTTCCGCTGAGACCGCGACCCAGGCTCCTGAGACTACTCCACCTCCACCTGTTGTTACCCTGGACTCCCTTCATGCGGCAATTACGGACATGCGGGGCGAGCTGACTTCTCTCAGGGTAGACTTCATAACCTTCATGGACTTGGTGACTGATCAGTTGGACTACATGCATCAGCATTTGTTTCCACCTCCCCGTGGCTAGGGTTGCCATTGTTATTCATTTCCTTCTCTCTTGCATTTTTACGTACAGTGAGGACACTGTTAAGTTTCAGTGTGGGAGGGATTTTTAGTTATTATTTCAACATTTTCTATTTTTAGTTACTTTGAAACAATTTGTCACGAATTTATTCATTTATTCAATTAAAGTTTTTTTTAATTTCTTTCCCAGTTTCTGTTTTATTTACTGTTTGTGTTTATACGCAATATTTCTATTTCATTTTATACTGGTAATTAGCATTACAAATTTAATTATTATATCACCTTTATATTTAAACCTCTAATTAATTATTTAAACCTCTAATTAATTAAAATAATTAATTAAAATATTTCAAATAAACCAAAAAAAATAAATATAAATTCTTCAAAAACCAATTACCAAGAAAAACAATAAACACATACACTCTCCAACGGTCCTGTAACGGTCATGTTATTTATGACGCTGCCTGCGTTACGATCGTCACACCCATGTGACGAGCGTAACGCGCCTTTTTACCTCATGACGAGCATCACACCCTTGTGACAACCGTCACGCAAACAGAGACCATAACGGCTATTGCAGGGAACCATTCCAACTTTCCCCTTCATAAACCCATTTGCTTCCTCCATTGTCACCACACCACACGAAAAACCACCCATTCACTCCATTTTTCTTCTAATTTCTAAACTCCCAACACCAAATTACCATACTTACAATCTCCCATTCTCACATTCCCAAATCAAATCCTACCTCCACCATGGCAAACAACCCACACGCTCAAGCCATCAATTTCAGAATCGGCGAACCAGGGGAGAATCAGCGAGCAAAGTTTCAGAAATTTCAACGTCGAGGTCTCCAACCCACAAGGTACGTTGACATCGACTACCTAAGGAGTTTGGGACTACTCGACAGTGTCCGCTGATTATTGCAAAGCATGGAATTGTGGAACCTCTGTCGCGAACCAAGACCAATCTACGTAACTCTTACTCTTGAGTTCTTGAGTTCGTTTGTTTACCTCACTCCGCCGGGTGTCACAAACCAACTGTCAGGCATGGAAAAATTTCACATGTTTGGCGTTGAGCACGAGTTGCCTCGATCCGACATCGCGAGGCTTATGGGATTTTGTTCGGACGAAGGTGCTTATTTTCGGGTACCGGATAGTTTTGGTGAGGAGGCTTTCAACTTGTGGCACAGTTTAACGAACATCCGTGCCAGATCCTACGACCACCTCAACGCCACCCATATTCACAATCCGGCCATCCGCTACTTCCATCGCATCCTTAGTAACACCATCTTCGCCCGCGACAGCAACCATAAGCTCAACTCCAATGAGCTCTTCTTTTTACATTGCGCGTTCACTGGGCAAAAGATAAATGTCGCCCCGTTCCTACTTGCTCACATCCACTCTATTTGTGCTAGAGGTGGAAAACCTTTTTATTTCGGAGGGTTGGTTACTTCAATTGCCATTGGTCTGAATTACGGTGCTGCTCTCGCAACCTTGCCTTCTATGGCACCGACTTTGCTAACCTTGGATCACTGCAAAGCCGCACACCTCATCTACGAGCGGTAAGACGACAAATTCCACCCCGTAATCAGGAATACTGTCTATCAGAATATCATTTTGCCGAACAGGGACCGAATCGATCCAAGTAACCGAGCAAACTGGTTGTTCGACCCTGAAGTTCCCGCAGAGCCTGCACCTACCCACAAAGACCAACGTGCAGCCGCCGCAGACGATATACAAGAAGAGTTGGATAGTGCTCCGCCTGTCCACGACATTCCAGGATCCTCATCTGCACCTCCTCCTATCAATCTTGAAGACATCCTCTGCGCCCTCCACATGCAAAATCAAATGAATGCGGCGCTTGAAAGGAGGCAAGCTGAGCAATTCGAGTCTCTGTGCGCCCAAAACGCTCAGATCTTGACTGGGCAGCGCAACGTGAATGAGAGGGTAGATGAGGCCTTGTCAGAGCTTAACACCTTGAGGATAGATATGAACACCTATGGCTTCCAAGACACAGACACTGAAGCCACTCTTACCAGACGCTCTCGCACCAGGAGTAGAGGACGTGGTCACCAGTAGTCTTTCTTTAATTTTTATGTAATTTGTTATTTTTCTGTTTCTTTTCTTTTCCTTTTGTTTTTGTAATTGTACTTCCCCGCATATATACCGCAACATTGAGGACAATGTCGGATTTTGTGTGGGAGAGGTACCTTTCAATCTTTTAATAAAACTAGTAAATTCTTACGATATGTCTCGATTCAAATTCTTCGCTTTATTTTGCCATACCGAAATTTTTTTTATTCTCACATTATCCCGACATACCTATTTTAACGAAATCCCAGTTGAGGAAGCCGAAAACGACATAACAAGATCGATACGGTTCTATCACCGTGGACTTCCTACTTACGCGATCCGTTTCAATAACCATTATACCGATATCTGGAGTTTCATGTTCTAGAAGTAACCCCTAGTAGTTTATACTAGCAGTCAGCACCGTCTTGACACAAACCACGTGGAGAATCGATGAATATAAGTGTTTGATGTCTGATTCTAAAAATATCCTTCCCATCTCGCTGCTAAAAGAAAAGAAAATCTGTGTACCAAAATATACGGGCACATATAAGAGCTGAGCAAATAATGAAGGAATCCAGTGTTGGTTGGTTCAGAGGTATCTGGAACTGAACTCGGTAGGGCGTGCTACGGCCCGATCCCCCACAACCTCCAATTTGGATAACATATGTAGGGTTGCCACATTCATGTACCAGACCCCGTGCTAAAGGATCAAAGTCACTAACAGGTTACTCCACTACATGCGTGCTAAGGCAAAGGGCTTAATGTGATTGCGCCAGAATGAAACCGGGTGAAATAGATACGAGGAACTCCGGGCAGAGTTATAACGGAACTGTTGGATAGCTCGTTTAAAATGGAAGTCTACGGGTAAGCTTATTGCTTGCGTCATTAGCGTATCTTTAGTGTTTTACTCAAGTATTGGCCGAACCAACGAGGATTTCCTGAAACCACTTTAAAAATCCAAGGTATGTCATGCTTATGCGCTTGACGAAAACTTGTCCGACCTTTCGAATGACTATTTGCTTGAGGACAAGCAAAGGTTTAAGTATGGGGGTGTTGTACCCCAATTTTTGACCTAAGATCCCACTTGCATTTTTGCATTTTTTATACAAAAGTCAAGGTCACTAAATACGGTCGGTTTTAACCTCTTACCTTCGAGCTTTGACTATGTAAAGATTGTCAAGTGTTTTGAAAATTCTTAGCCTATGTATCACTAACTTCTAATCAAGCACGAAGTGTGTGTGTTTTTCGTTTCTTTGATTTCATTTTGCAGGGAACAGATCTGAATCAAGAGCATCAGGCATCACGCCTCGATTAGGGTTCGGAATCTCTCAATCCGGAAGTACAATTGATCGTTGATTCTTGAAGACTGATTCATCAGGGCAATCGTGAGATTATTTCCGTGCTCTGTTCAATAAGTGGTCTCAAGCTTCTCCGCAACTTCCTCAGAGCACGAACAAGATTTCATCATCACTGGTTCACATGTGCATCAAGATGCTTTGGAATGCGAAGAAAGATCAAGTTTGCGAGTCAATTCGAAGCACTTTGACCAAAAGTCAATACTTACACATCCAAGTTCAAACGATCGTAACTTTTCATTATTCAACATTTTTGAATGGTTACTTTTGCGTACAATTTTCTTTGACGTCATCTCTAACCCCTCTTTACCAGTCAAGGTCTGATTAGGTGCGGAGGATCATCAAAAGTTCGGATACTTAGAGGTCACTTTGATGACTGTGGCCTAATCTCAAGTAACAACTACTCGACTTTCAAGGATTGTAACTATTTCGATTTTCATCATTTCGGGATGGTTCTTTTTGCAACATGTCACAAATGATGTCGTCTACAAGATTGCTTCAAGGATCTACATCCGAATGCGTTTGGAAGGCCATGAGTTCGCTTGAACATTTTAGGCTTAGAATTGATTTTGTATTGAGATTGTTCTCCACTAAGTCAAGGGTAAAGGCAAGATGTTGAGTTTGAGGATTCATTGATTATATATTGCTATAATACAAGTTGCTTGTATTCGAGCATTAGTAATTAATGAATTAAAATTGGATTTAGATCAAGTTTCTTTGTTTGTTCATCAAGATTCGGTTCATGGTAAAAGGTTTAGGTGTTTTATTTGGAATGCATTTCAAGGTAAAAAGACCATTCAAGGAATCTAAGTCCATCAATTCTACAAGGACTATTTCTAAGGAAAAGTTCTTATTCAATCCAAGAATTTGATACAAACTTTAAAGAAAATTTCAAGATCATTGATTCAAGGATATTTGTCATGTCTAGTTCAAAGGTGGAGAATGCATCATGCTAATTTTTAGGCATATCTCAAGTTTGCAATTTCAAAAAAAAATCTCAAGACAAATCCATTCCAAGCTCAAATGAAATATTTAAAGATACATCCAAATTCAAGACTTGTTACAAATTTCAAATTTTCATTACAAATATTATAGCCACAAAATCACATGAAAAAAAACATTGTAAATCCTAAAGCCTATTTTAAACTATCCTTCATCAATTTTCAAAATACCAAGTCTAAGTCTATGCTATTATTTTCAAGCCCATTTTTCTTGCTTCATGATGCATCAAATTGCTCCATAACTTGTACCAATGTTGTCCATAAATCAGCTGCTACAAACACTTCAAAACAGTCCAAACCTTGCTTCAAAATTATCCATACTGTATGCATATCAGTCCAAAAACATGCTACTGCAATGCTGCTCCAAATCCTGTCAAACCTGTCCAAAAACAAGTCAAAATTCTGCACAAATAATGCCAAAAACCTGTCCGAAAGCAGTATAAAATTTCACAAAAATAGAGGATGCAAATCCTGCATCAGAAAAGGAAAAATCAGCATATCAATTTGTCCAAGACCCACACATTTTCCCTCCAAAAATTTTTCATTCTGAAGGGGGGAAAACAAAGTAAAAAACCTGTGGAAAATTATAATAACTTGGCTCCAGGTTGAGAACAAGGGGGAGGAGGGGACCTGCTGTAAAAACAGAAAAATACAAACACAAAAAACAGTAATGGGAAAGGAAATATAAAAATCTGTTTTTCCATGGATGAAAGAAGTAGAGAAAAGATTACAGTAACACTAACCCATTCTTCTTGATACCTTCCTATTCTTCATTCTTTCTTAGTCTCCATTTCTTCCTACAGTCCACACTCACCAAACCACAACACCACCATATCCACAATCTCAAGCAATTTCCTTCACCCATCACATCTGTCATTGTAAAATTCATCATTGCTGCAGTTCTGATCATCATTGCTTTTCTAGAGGAATCTCTGCTAGAGGGTCATATATTTGGTCGAAACTTATTGTGGTACGCGGCTGTTTTTGGAACCATAACTGCTATTAGCCGGGTTGCAATTGTAAATGAACTTCTGGTCATAGATCCTGGAGGAGGAATGTCTATGTTAGTTCAGCTTACGCATTATGTGCCAAAGAGATGGCGTGGCAAGCAAAGTACTGAAACGGTCCGGACTGAGTTTGAAACCTTATTCCAGTATACTGGGATGATGCTACTCGAGGAGATGGCCTCAAATTTCCTTACTCCATACTTACTCCTATTTGTTGTCCCAAAGCGTGTCGATGATATCTTGCAGTTCATTGCTGATTTTACCGTACACGTTGAAAGTGTTGGCCATGTATGCAGTTTCAGTGTCTTTGATTTTCAAAAGCATGGAAACAGTAGTTATGGTTCCTCATCTCATCCGCCTGCTCATACCGGTACAACACCATCACAACACCGTTCCACCTTCCCGCACCCATCACGCTAATACGCCCAACTCTTCCATCACAAAACCCTTCTCAATCTCCCACACCGAGCAGCCTCCACCTGTCCCTGTTCTGCCCACTTGCGATAACCCCACCATTGTTAAACTGTAAACTGCTGGCATCCATCAAAACAATCACAAAAACGCACACGCGAAGAACCAATAGAGACAAATCGTAAAAATCTGAAGAGGAAGTAATTTCGAAGAAGAAGTGGAAGCGAGTTTACCTCTGATTTTGCAGTCATCTTCGTTGATTTGAAGAAGGCACCAGACCTTCCTCTGGTAGGTAAGTATACTTCGCGCCCTCCTTAGTTAATTTGACTGTCTTGCTCCATTGTTTGTGTCGAACATTTTTAATCACTGCGTAATCTGAGTTGAGTTTGAAACGAATCTACGGTTCACGATAACGAGAGCGGAAGATCGGAGTTGCCGCTGATGCGAATCTGTTTGAATGAAGCAGAAAGAGTGAGAAGATTCACGAGCGAAAAGTGGATAAAGGCGCGATGCTGATGATTCATCGGAGAACGTGGAGTTCGCCGGAATCGTGGCGTTGTTCATCCTCGCCGGAGTTTGCGCGAAGAAGAAGAGAAACAAGGACTTGAACGGCTACACCATGCAGCGCCGCTTTCTTTTTCTTTTAGGTCTCTTTTTCTTTTCCTAACCCAATTCGCGTATTACAGGGCAACGGGTCTGGGCCTGACCCGGTTCGGCCCGTTTCTAACTTAGCTTGTTGTTTCAATTTTTTTTTATATATTATTTATTCATGTTTATTACTCATGCCTTGGGCCTTATCCCAGTCTTTTAAGCCCATCCGATTTTCATATCATAAGCCCCCTCAAATTTGTGTTACACACCCCTTTTATTATTAATTTAGTGTAGATTTTAATTAGTAATTTTATAAGGAATTTAGTTAAAACTTTGATTTAGTTTAGATTCAATTTAATAATTAGAACTTTAATTTAGTAACTTTAAAATCAACTTAGTTTATATTAGACACGGTTTAGTAACTTTAAGAATTAATTCAACTTAGATTAAATTTAGTAATTTTAGAATTTTAATAAATCGTAGAGCTTTAACGCAATTTAGGTATAATTCAGAAATTTCACAAATCTTACTTTTTTTGTTTAGAATTAACTTAGTAATTTACATATCCCCTTTAGATAACTAGTTACCTTCTCATTTGCTTTTTTAATCGTCTTAGTCCTTTAGAATTAAATATTTCATTGTTTAATCAGTTCGTTTAAATTTATCTTCTTGCGAATTCTTGATTACTTATATTGTGATGTTCGTTTTATTTTTTCTGATTTGTTTGCTTCTATTCCAAGGGAAATGTTTCAACTCAGTTGACTTCACGTCATCAAATACATCTCACCCGATCGTGCGAATACCCTTTTTTTTTTCATTTTTTGTTTGTTTACTATTTTGCTAAACTCAAGATAATTTTCCCAAAAGACTCCATTTTCAAACTCACACCTTTTTTAAGTCAAAACTTCGACACTAGGTTGTCGCATCTTCAAAATCTCGCCAACACCTATTTTTAGCCAAACGAACCATTTTAATCAAACAAACAATTTTAACCAAAAACAGATATTTCAAAAGGTTCCTGCGGAGTACCGCAGGTGCATTGGGTGCTAATACCTTCCCATTGCATAACCAACCCCCGAACTCTCGATCTCTTTTAAAAACGCATTGTATTTTTTATTACTTTTAAGTATTATTTTACATTGCATATTTTAGGGTTTTATTTCGCTCTTTTCCCTTTTCCCTTGGAAATAATAAAGCGCGGTGGCGACTCTTGATTTTGCGAGTCAAGTTAATTAATAGCTTGATCTCCGATTTTCACCGCTACAGAATTGGCGACTCTGCTGGGGAGAGATTGACCTCTTGCTGGTCCATCCCTAAGTGGGTTAAGCCTAATTTGTTTTATCTGTTTTATCATTATTTGATTGTTTGATTATATGTATATATTATGATTATTTGGGTGTTGATAATATTTACAAAGGACAAGTCCTATACCCGGACTAAGTTACACTTAGGAATAGGACGGGCGGTATAGTCATGTTAACTTTGAGGGAGTAATCCCGAAGAAGGAGGCATGAGATCCCCCACTCAGTGGAAGGCCCTTTTGAACGTAATATTTGTTTACCGAGTAATCGGGAAGACATTAGATTGACCTCTTGCTGGTCCATCCCTAAGTGGGTTAAGCCTAATTTGTTTTATCTGTTTTATCATTATTTGATTGTTTGATTATATGTATATATTATGATTATTTGGGTGTTGATAATATTTACAAAGGACAAGTCCTATACCCGGACTAAGTTACACTTAGGAATAGGACGGGCGGTATAGTCATGTTAACTTTGAGGGAGTAATCCCGAAGAAGGAGGCATGAGATCCCCCACTCAGTGGAAGGCCCTTTTGAACGTAATATTTGTTTACCGAGTAATCGGGAAGACATTATTATTTTCGACCTGGGAGCCAGAGAAGCTGGGAACCGTAGAACCCTAACCCATCTTGGCCTTTTAGGTGTAGCGCGGAGATTATAACGGAGTAATCTGGAAGTAATTGTTACGCGATGCTACGCTCGGATGAGTTTCTCTTGAGAATATTGCTGATTATTGAGTAATCAAGACGTTGGTAATATCCGAAGGAGGAATGTAGATCCCGGGAACTCTTAGAACCTTGTTCTACAGATGTGATTAAACCGTTAGTACATACCTTGGGGGGTGTTCCTTACCTTGACTCCATGCTCGTGACGTTGAACCTTTCGACTTTATTTGTGACCTTGCTTGTGGTTGTTGCATAGCCATGCATTCATCCATAAAACCCTTTTCACTTGACTTAAAAGGAATTTGGAGGTCTTTCTTTGTAAACATCACAAGTTTCATCAAGCTCAATGGATCTTGGGTGTTGATAGGGCGAAAACCCTAATCCACCAAAATGGATGATTGATCTTGATGATAACTTGATCAATGTTTGGAGCCAATTTAAAATTCATCTTCTATCTTCATACTTTGATGTTTACAACTTAATATCTTGAGTTCCTTGAACATCAAATAGAAACTCTCTTTTGCATATCATACATCATTCTACATTTTTTTTTTGTTTCACTGTCAAAGGTCTTTTTCCCAGTCTTATTTTTCCTTTGGTCTCACCAGTACAACACTCGCGCTAAGAGAACAATGGAGAATATCAAGCAAGAGGTTTCTGAACTCCGTAGAGAGATGACTATTTTGAAAGCTAGTTTGGAGCACTTAACTGGTTTGGTTGAAATTCTGGTTGCTGCCCAAGTCAATCCTTCTAGGAGGGAGGAAGCGATGATAAAAATATTCACTGAAACTCTAAAATCATTTTCTCATGAGAAGGTGATGGTTAATGACTTTCCTGACAAGGTGAATGTGGGAGTGCGTCTAGAAGAAGATGTGGGGAAGGGATGTTCATATGAAGATGGTAGCTCAACTAATGGTGTGAAAAAGTTTGATAATAACTTTTCCAAGAAGAGAACCAGAGGAAGAAATAATCATCATCAAAATCATCATGTTTCTCCTATTTATCGACAGAATCAGCAAGTTCCTAATCAGAGGAAAACCCAGTTTGATCCAATTCCAATTACCTATACAGAGTTGTTCCCTATCCTGATGCAGAGGAATTTGGTTCAGACCCGACCTCCATCGAAGGTTCCTGAGAAGATACATTGGTACTACAAAGCTGATTTGACTTGTACCTTTCATCAAGGTGTTCCTGGGCATGAATTGGAGGGTTGCTTTGCTTTGAAGATTGAGGTTCAGAAGTGGTATCTTGTCATTCAAGGACGTTGGTTTTGAAGTTTCAAATCAAGCATGTGCCAAAGAGTAAACATGATTGATGGTAACTTTGAGTTTTGAAGGATGTTTTCGGTAATTCAAGTCCAGATGGAAAGCCTTCCTAGATTATTAACTTATTTCTGCTTTTTGTAATTTTTCTTGTTTATCAAAACATTGTTTGCATGTAAGAACTTGTTTGCATCTGTATGATTATCTTAATACAATGGGTATGTTTGTCTTGAAGAAATTCATTCGTTTCACTCATATTTGTTTTCAAATTTTAAATTTCTTTTTTGCATTATGATACCAACTTGTTGCCCATTCTCTTGCCTAGGCAGAGATTGAAGGGAGGATGATGATCTAAAGAACACAAAATCTCTGGTCGCATGCTTTTGGATAAAATCTTGCTGATGATGTACAGGCATTGTTTCAAATCCCTAAACACCGGAGATATAAGGAAGATAATCCCTTGCTAACCCCTTTTGAGCCTTTGAAGCAGAAGTTTCTTTTCTATACGAAAAAAAACCTTGAATTTTAACCTGGGGCAGGGTAGTTTTTTTTAGTTAATCTGACTGAGTGTTCGAAGTTCATAAGGAAGATGTTTTTTGAAGAGAAACTACGAGGGCTATCCTTCATGTATAATGAATCTAGAGGATGTGGAACCACAATGTTATCCCTCATTCATCAAGAAACGAGGCAATCATAATCCTCTCAACAAGCAAAGATAAGCTAATGTCACACATTTTGTTCAAAAAGTCAAAAATCGAGAAAAAGAAAAAGCCTGCTAAGTCAAAAAACATGAAAACGTGTGACTTAGGCAAAATTAAGGCATCCCGGTGGACTATCAATTCAAAAGAATTAGTTCAGGCAAAAGTTAGGGAAAATAAAAATTGCAAAGAAAGGACTACAAAGAAAAGTCCTCAACAAAGAACAAACTGGTGACTACAAACACGAAGACATGAGGGTGGTTTCTACTCCGAAAGCCTCGTCGTTTCTTTGACCGTCACAAAATCCTTTTGAGAGATGAACACTCATGTTGAATTAACTGAACATAGGATTGGAGAACATCATGAAGGGGGTGGGCACCAAATATTTTGAGCCTTAAATCTTTTTTTTCTAAAACCATGAGCCAGACCACATTACAACCTTCAAAAGTCCTAATTGAAGCAAGGTTATTTTGAAAGCATACTTCAATGAGAT